CCCCCGCCCCTCTCCCCCTAATCGCCCCGGCCGCGCCCAGGCGCTGACGCCGCAGATGACTGAGAACCGCCGCAAGGCGGAGGACCTGCTGCGGGAGGCCTACATCCTGTCAGAGTGCCTGCAGCGCCGCAGCTCAGCGGCCGTGCTGGAGAAGCTGCTGCCTAAGCGGTACAAGCAGTACAGCAAGGGCATCTCCGGGAAGGCCTGAGGGGTGGGACGCCCGATGCGGCGCTGATGAGGGCCTGTGAGGGAGTGCGAGCCCGGGCATTCGCGGGGTGCTCTTGCTCTCAGGGAAACGGATTGGGCGGCCGCTTCAAGGCGGCTGGCGTGGGGCGGCCTGGCGCGGCATGGCCAGCGGGCCGGCCTCATGGCTGCGCGCACCGGTGGGCGGCCACGCTGAAGAGGGGGGGTCCGGGTGCGCTCATGTAAGCGCTCCGTAGGCCAGGGGGCATGCGAGTCGCATGGCCTTGCTGATACGGGACGTACAGTGGTGTGCAGCTCGCAAAGCGCACCTGTGTTGTTCGATTCACATCCAATGTTGCCCAAAGCGGCAAATGGGCCTCGCCGCAACAGCAGCCCGGCGGGGCCTCTCGGGGGCGTTTCTGTATCCCACCACGGCGGCCGTCGGCCACGCACGCGCCTTTCGATCCTCTCTTAAAAGAGGTGGGGCGCGGCATCGGCAGCGGCGATTGCGCCGCAGGGAGCGCGGCGCATGCCCATTCCACTGTTGTGTCGAACGACGCAGAGAATCTTATGGACTTCTCTTACGCATGTCTGTACATCGGGATGCGCTGGGGTTTCACTGGGGCAGGGGCACATTGCGTCCATTGCTCACGTGGCGGCACAACCATTCTTTTTTGTGGCAAACGCGAATGGTAACTCCCAAGCTCACGGTCCATTTGAATCGGCAAGGTGGCGGTCAGACTGAACGTGCGTTGGCCGGCGGAGGGCGCAAAAGCGGTGCGTTCGATTGCGCCGGGCAGGGTCCGACAGGGCTCCTGCAGCCTGCGTTGCGCTCGACATCAAGGAGGAGTGACGCTTCAAGGCACGCTACTGTGCACACCCTTGTGTCGCAACCAAGCATTTAACTTCGTGACACACAATCAGGGCATGGATGATAGCCTGCAAGGAAATGTGTAAAAATCGTCGTATCATGCATGCACTGACGAGGGTTCGATTACCGAGGGGTAGAGTGGTCACCACCGTAGACACCGCACACGGCAGGTGTGGCAAGCAGCAGCGTGCTCAAAGCGATCGGGGTATCCCGCCCATACCCGTGCCACCGCCTCCAAGGAGCCTCCAAGGAAATGTTGCAGGCGTAAACCGGCTCGGCAAGCGGATGGAACTGACGGCGCCGGTGAAATCAACGCGTGCGCCTCAGCACCGATAGGCGATGTCGCGATTCAGATATCCAAATCGCTCGTGTCTTGACTCTCCTTCATCAAAGTGCAACAACTAGTTCTCTTTGGAGGCTGCCGTATGTGTTGCGAGCACTCCCGAGAGCTTGCGCACATGCGATTGCCGCCCCGGCCAAAAAGCCAGAACTGGCACACACTTTGAAAGTTGTTTGAATACGTGACACCTCACTTTGACAACTCGATTTTACGCCGCGGCTCCCATGGTCAACACCAGATCGACAAGGCGCCTCGGATCACGCAGCATCTTTGTAGTTCGAGAGTGCAGCTCATACAAAGCGTATGATTTTAGACAGAGATAATCATGTTAGGACGCGGGGACCACCAGCATAGCGGCGGGGCGACGCTGCAGCGCAGCACATTCTCGCTGCAAACCCGAACAGCGTCCGGCGGCGGCGACCCACTTCGCCCGCTGTGGCTCGATGCTTGGAGCGACCCTGTGGCCGGCCTCTCGGCGTTCAGCGGCTGCATGCACACGTGCAACCTGTTTGGCGACGGGGACTGGCGGCTGGTGGTGGCGGATGCCGACAAGAAGCTCAAGGTGGGCTGGCGTGGCACAGCCTGAAAGCCACCCACCCCTATGCGCGTCGACCCGGCCCGGACATTGCTGAGCGTCCCTCGCACTGCACACATACTTGGATAACGCATGCACGCACGCATGACCCCCATGCCAGGTATGGAAGGGCACCCAAAAGGCATCTGAGCATGCGCTGCTGGACGCGCCTGTCGCCCTCACCAGCTTCACGCCAGACGGGCCCCCGCCGCGCGTGCCGGTGCTGGCGGTGGCGTCAGGGTGCCACGTGTTCATGTTCAAGGGGCTCAAGCCGTTTTACAAATTCGCGCTGCCCCTGCTGCCCTGCAGTGGCGAGGAGGAGCAGCTGTGGTGCGCTGGGGCAGCCGCAGCTGCCCTTGCCCCACGCATGACAGGGCCACCCTTGTTTTTGACCTACATTGCTGACCTGCTGCAATCAAGCGATGTCATAATGTACTATCCGCAGGCCGCATCCCCTCAACACACACATTCATACATGCACTCACACTCATATGTGTGCGCACACATGCGTGCGTGGACCTACAAAACAGGCAGCAGCTGGATTCAGGCAGCCTCAACCCGACCTCCGCTTGCGCGTCCCTGGCCGCGCTGCGGGACGCCGGCATGCCGCTCTCGGGCCGCGGAGCAGAGCTGCTCGCGTCGGCGGCGGCGCGCGGGGAGGGCGGCGCCGCGGCCTTTGTGGCGGACTCCAGGGGGCAGCCGCTGGGGCGGCAGAGCAGCATCACTTGCATGGATGCGGTCTGTCAGTCCGTGGACGAGGTGAGCACCTTCCGCCCAACTTGCGGCCCCGCCCTCATCTACGGCCACAATTGGGCGTTGCTGGGGTGCACTTGCTGCATAGCCAGCCTCTGCGTGGCAGACGGCGAGCCGCGGCAGCTTGCCAGTGGCACGCAGCCTTGCTGCCATTGCCGGTGGCATGCATGGCCGCATGCAAGGTGGGACTGCAGGCGGCTGCCAACGCTGAGCTCCCTGGGAAGGCCCCACCATGCACCACGATTGCCCAACGCAACCCGAACCACCCCTCCCGCCCGCAGACTGGGGCGCCAAGCTGCCTCGTGCTGGGCACAGAGGACGGGCGCCTCTTGATACTCAATTCGGCAGGTGGGCCTGCGCGGCTGCGACGCCCTATAACCACACCCTTAATATCTCTACAAGCGCTCTAGGCGCTCACCGGCAAAATCACCCCCCACATGCTCTTGATCACATTAAAGATGAGGCATGGCGCCGTTTTGTGGTGCCACAGCGGACCAAAAACCCGCCCGAACCATGCATCACGGCTGCCTCCGCCACTTGCCCCCACGTGGAGTCCACCGCGCAGGCACCGCTGTGCAGCACACGTTTGTCCTCGGCTGCGCGCCCTCATTCCTGGCATTGTCTGGCACCTTGGAGGCGGGCCTCAAGCTCTCGGCGACCACACGCGACGGGCGGTTGCACACGCTGCGGGTCGGGGAGGCGGGCGTGCAGCCGGTGCAGCTGGAGGCGCAGCCGGTGGGCCTGGTGAGTGCGGGGCGGTCCGGGCCAGAGCCATGCGTCTGCTGCTCTCAGCAGCACTTGCATCCCGCGTGCCGATGACAGAAGCACTTGCCGCCTGGTCAAGATCTTCATCTCCACTCATCTTCTCACACCGAAGATTGGGGAGCTGATTGGGGTGTGCCTCAAGATGATAAACGTTGTTGATTGCTCTCTTCAAACCACATGATACACACATTACTTCCAGGTCCGCACCTCCAACGCGGCGCTGGTGGGCGTGATGAGCGACGTCGTGCACTGCTACGGCGGCAGGGCCGGCTGCACGCGCCAGTACAGCCTGCCGCAGCCCGCGCCCATCCTGTGCATGCAGCTGCTGGCCACGCACACCAGCCGGCTGGTCAAGTGCCTCATCGTGGCGCTGGCAAACGGTGGGGGTCGATCTCGTTAATCCCACCGTCTGGAGGGGGGTTTGGCACCGAACAAAGGGACTTCATCAGCTTGACACGCATGTTCCCCGTGCTCGAGTATTTATGGTGCTTGAGTGTGTCCATGCAGACAACCAGGATCCCACTCACACATCTCATCACACACACACTCACGCACACACGCATGCACACGCGCGCTCGCGCGCACAAACACACACAAGCACAAACAATCACGCGAACTTTTTGCCACTTTGCCGTGACGCGTAATGACTCTTGCCCATGTGTAGGGGACGTGCGGGTGTACCACGAGCGCGCCCTCGTGTCCACACACACCACCGCGGCGGCCGCCCCTGTGATGGGCCTGGTCTTTGGCCGCTACGCGCGCGAGGACAACACGCTGGTCACCCTCACACGCGGCGGCGGGCTCGACATCAAGGTACGCGGGAACGGTGCGACAGCTGCATTTTGTCGCCCCGACGCTTTGCAAGCGTGTGTGCGCATCAGGTTCGGGTCCGCTTCTTCACCGGCCCCCTCCTTGTGCCACACCCGAGGCCCCTTAGCCCCACCAAGTCTGCTATGCAAGTATCCTTGCTTAGCCGGCTGCGCCCCCCCCTCCAGATCATGCCACGCACGGCCAATCTCGAGGCGACCAGCGCGCACAGCGGGCCCCCGCCGGAGCAGGACGTGCCGCTGCCAGTTCCCACCAAGACGCGCCTCTACGTGGAGCAGACGCAGGTGTGTTTGTGTGTTTGTGTGTTTGTGTGTGTGGGGGGGGGGGGCGCGCGTGTGCTGGTTTGTGTGTTCAGGTACTGTATGTATGCATATATGTGTGCGCGCGCACGTGCATGTGTGCGTGCCTGCAAGCATGAGTGATATTGAGAAAGTAAATCCTGAGGTGTGAGAAATTCAATCCGTCTACCAGGCTTGAATATCCCCCAAAAGGCACGTGTTCGCAATCCGTGAGCCCATTTTCACGTGGTGCACCAGGCTAGCCAACTTGACAAGTGTGCGTGCGGCGCACTCCGACCCTCAGCCCCACTTCCACCCCCCACCCCTGCATGCGTCCGCGCCGCAGCGCGAGCGCGAGTCCGCCGTCGACATGCACCGCCTCTTTCAGCGGGACCTGGTCAAGGCGCGGCTGGCCACGGCCCGCGCCCTCGTCAGGGTGCTCACGGACGGACGGGTGCGTGAGCCCTCTGCAGCTTCGAAATGCAGCGGACCCATCGCACCCTGCCAGTGGGCGGCCTGCTGCTGCACTGCTAGAACGGGCCCGTGCAATTGCCGCTAGCTTGGCCCCAGCTCAGTGGGACGTGCGCTCGCCAACCACGCGCTTGCTGTGCGCGACGCCGCGTAGGGCGCCGCGTCCCACGCGGGCGGCGCAAACCTGTCAATGTCTGCCAGCGTGGAGGGCCTTGGCCCGCGCTTCCGGCTGGTGCTGTCCGTCACGAACGAGGGCGGCACGGCGGTGGGCGGGCTGGCGGTTGTGCTGCGGTACGACCCGCAGCTGTACAGGCAAGTGCTGTCGGGATTGCAAGTAAGGGTTGCGTGGCAGGGCAGCTCACGGCTGCTGTGGATTGCATATCGTTGGTGGAAAATCTTGGCGTGCGTTCGCCTTGCATCAACCATAGGTCGCTTTCCTTTCATTAGGGCTGGCTTGGCGGCTGGCTCACGCTGCGCTCACGACGCCGCACCCTGCCGCAGCGCGAGCAAGCAGCAGCTGGTGGTGCCACTGCTAGTGCCTCTGCTGCAGTACGAGCTCAGGGTGCGCTTCTCTCTCTCGGCCTCGCGGCTGCTGGCACGCAATCCGACAGGCTGGACCCGCATGCTCCGCATGGGCGTGCCAAGGCCTGCTTCTGGCGGGGCCAGCCAGGGCAGGCCCCCGGCTCTCGGGTGCCCCGACACCTGTGTGATCCATCACTGCTGGCAGGGAGCTAATCAAGCAGCTAACCCAACCCCCTGCGCCACGCAGGTGGACATCCGGTGCCTGCAGCCGGCCGGGGGCGCGGGGGAGGTGCGCCTCGTGATGGTGCCCGCCAAGGGTGGCGCGCCGTTGATGTCGGCGCTCGTGCGCATGCCGCTGTCAGAGCCAGACGATGTGATGTAATCCAATGCATGCTGCAAGTGGTTGCGTGATTGGCGGCTGCTCGCATGGATGAGTTATTAGGTGCCGCAGCGCACAGTACTGCTCTCTTCATCTCTACCACCCAGCATCGGTCACAAGACCGCGACCTGCTTGGAACAACCACGCTATCGCAGCTGACTCCCAATCAAAGTTTCATGACCGATGCGCTGCAGCGTCATCAGGTCGTCGAACGCAGAAACTAGAAGCTGCATCCGCTCCGTGTCACCCGAGTTACAACACAGGCGGTTGCCTACACGATACATCCAAAGGGTTCAAAACTCGATTTGATCGCCAAAACTCAGCTATTGCGCAAGTTGACCGGCAGAACAGTACGAATCGTGTCTTCAACTATCGTCGCATTGGCGTCCATCTTTCCGGGGTCGTCATAAAGCCCCGTGTCGCGTGTGGTCTGCAAGGGGTATCTACAAGATATCAATCAGGACCGTTGTCTCAAGTCTTGATCGCGTCCGCCACAAGGCCAGGTATGGTCCAGCGCGGGAAGACGCAGTGCTCTCAGTCCATCCGCATGCAGGACGACATGGGTAAATTTTGCGAGAATTTCAACCCCACGATGATTGTGGCAGCACGCACGGTCGCCGGTCCATCATCAGCTCAGGCGGCTGCTGTGTCACCAGCTCCTCGCCTCCTCACCGGCACCACCCTTGCTGCCTTTGCCCTTTGCAGGCAGCTGACTGGTTACTTTGGTTGAGCGCTGCACACACGCTCCAGTGCACCTGCACCCATGGCGATCCGGGTAGCAACTCTGGCCCTGCTGCTGGTGCTGGTGGCACCATGGCAGGCCCACGCAGCAGGTGCGCAGCATCACCGTGTTGCATGGCGAGCTTTGCATGGTGGTGGCAAGCATGCGGCCACTGTGTCCAATTGGTTTGCCAGCCAGAAGTGTGTAGCTGCGCAGCCCAGCCGTTCCGTATGCGCACCGCCTTGTCCGGCGCTCCGCGATCGACATCATTGCCCCTTGCAAGCTGCCAGCTGGCGCAGTTCAGGGCCGTCCTGCGCCAATGCCCGCTCGCCTCAGTCCTCTGAGTTTGTTGATTCACCTGTGACTAGAGCTTTCCATCCATTTCCCCCCTGCGCGTTTGCCCCTGAACAGGCCGCATCCTGCTGGACGGTAAGGAAGGACGTGATGACAAGGGCGGCAAGGGCGGCAAGGGCAAGGACGACCAGAACCAGTTCGGCGACTGGGGAAACTTTTTCAACAATGGCAACGGCGGCGGTGGTTTTGGGCAGGGCGGCTTCAACAATGGCGGCGGCCGCTTCGGCCAGGGTGGCTTCAACAACGGGCCTGGCCGCTCCGGCCAGGGTGGCTTCAACAACGGTGGCGGCCGCTTTGGCCAGGCCGGTGGCCGCAACGACGACACCAGGGGCGGCAGCCGCAACGACGACAACAGGGGCGGCAGCCGTGGCTTCCAGCGCTATGACCGCCAGATCTTCTCCGGCCTGGTGCCCTCCAGCCCGCCCAGCGGTTTCGGGTCCCGCAGGGGCCAAGGCCTGTCGGCCGATGCGCAGCGCCTCAGCCAGTCGTTTGCCACTGCGAGTGCGACCTCCACCGCTCAGAGCATTGTGGGTGGCGGCAACAGCTACGCCATTGCTGGTGCGTGCGAGGCGCTGGGGGAAGGACAGTAAAGTGGCAGGGAGATGTGTTGCGCTCGACGGTTCTCTTGCAGCTGTACTGCTTGCATTTTTGTGCCAGCTCTTATCAATCGTCGCAAGCAACAAGCAAAACCCAAAACCTCAAACACTGCTAACATTTGACCAACCCCACCTTTCCCACCTCAGAGGCCATTGTGGACACGGCCGCCCGCGGCCGCGGCAGCAGCATCGCCACCGCGTTCGCCTCCGCCGCCTCCCTCAACCGCGGCCGCACCGCCGACCTCCTGAGCCAGTCCGCCAGCGTCGCCCTCGCCCGCGGCCAGGTCGACCCCTTCGCCCGCGCCACTGCCAGCGCGTTCACCGACGCGCGCCGCCGCGGGTCGCTGCGCAACTTCGGCCTCGCCGTGGCCGACGCGGTCAGCCGCGGCGGGCAGAACGGGCAGTATGCATACGGCAAGGCGCTCGCGACCGCCATCGCCGGCGGTGGCGACGGCCAGCAGGCGGTTGCTGAGGCGACCGCGGAGGTGTTCTGCTCGGGCTCCAACAGCTACGCCTCTGCCTGGTCGTCGGCTTTTGCGATCGCGCTGAACCAGGACCAGAACGGCTGCCTCGTGCTGTCCAAGGCGCGCGCCCTCGCGTCCGCCAGCTGCGGCGGCGGCGCGTTCAACTCGTTTGCCGACAGCGAGGCGACGTCTAAGGTCCTGGGCTTCTGCGGTGAGCAGTGGGTGGGGGCTGGTGGAATGCGGGCCGTGGAAAATCTTATATGAGGCTTAAGGCTGAGGCGGCCAGGTGTTGGTCCGCTGCCCTGTGTGGGTATCCTTGTCGGGCTCAGGAATTGGTGGTTGCTCACTCCTGCGTGCCTTGCTCTTCCTTCTCCCTTCAGGCCTGTTCCCTCCTGGCGCGGGGCCTCAGTTCAACTTCAACAGCGCAAACAACGGAGCCAGCAGCTTCGGCGGCAAGTAAATGCTTTTGCATGAGCGAGATCACCCGTCCCCCCTGGCGTGGCACAGGATAATGTGCAGCTTTGCCTGCACTGATACAATGCTGTGTGACGGCTGGTATTTGCAGGCCTTGCCAGGCTAATATTGAGACGGTGTACAAGACAGCCGGCTCTGAGCAATGCACACAGGACAACTGGAAGGTAACCCCTTTTTGATGCTTCATCCTTGTGCGGGCTGACGCAGACATCCCGCTGCACAAGCGGGGGTTGCACTTGCGACGACGTATTCTTGAGTGGAAGTGACCGTGCTTCCTTGTTGCTTGGGAGCTGCACCTGTGCTGGCCCCACTGTTTATGTTAGTGCCGTAGCCTGCTGAATAAGCGGCGTACGTGCGCCTTCAGGTCTTGCAAACCTCATTTGTCAAGCCGCACTGCTTGCGATGCCAGGAGGTTGGAGTTAATTCATGCAAATGTAATTAGTCTGTTGCCTTCAGCAGAACGAGGGGATGGTTTTAGACTGTGCTTACTTCTGTGCCTGTCTTGAGAGTGAACACGCAGATGACTGTTGGCACATGGATGTGAGCCAGGCCAGCCATCTGCACTTCTTCAATATCTCAGCCCTGCAGTGCCCAAGTAATGGGGAGCCAGCCACTTCTGGACAGCCCCAATCCACAGTGTGATCAGCTGGTTTGGAGATGGCTGCAAGTTCTACGGCCATGAAGTAAACTCAATAGCCAGCCCGCACCATGCACAGTCGTACCCTGCACCGTTTCACCTGGCAGGTTGCTATGCAAGCACACCAGTTTGAATAGCAGCATGCTAGGCAACATGTGTGCAGGGCCCCTTGGAGCTGAGTTTTAACACCGCAACTCGCTGTTTGCCTCCGCCAGCTACCTGCCTACCTCCGACACAGGTGATGGCAGAGCTGAACGACGGCTGCTCCTGCGCCGACGACAAGGAATATTGCTGGCCATGCACACCGATTAAGGGACAGGGCATCGGCCCTTGCGAGGACGGATTGGGAGCAAGAATCACGCCATGCATTGTACTGTTCAGCCAAACGCCGTGTACTGCAGTGCTCACCTGCTGATCAGTCATTGGTTGACTAATAAGTGATCTAAGATTGAGAGCTGTGCGGGTGCGCCTGATGCAAGGCAAAGATATTTTTTATTTTGATCGCATCGAAGCCAAAATCACACTTGCCTGTAGATGATCCGTCGCCATCAAGTTTGACCGCGAGGTCTTTATATCCACACACCGCCGCTGTGTGTGTGGCTCTTGCACGTAATCAACGACTATCAAGTATGGCATTAACCGTGAATCCAGCGTCCCCTGCGGACGAGGTGCGTGCGGTGGGGCACGTGTCGCTGCTGCATGGTGGCGAGCTGATTGCTGCAGCTTTGGGTGCTTCAGGAGAGTGAGCTCGCTGAACACCTTCCGATCCACACACCGCCGCTTGCCGCGTCACGCACAAAGCTGCGGGCGCTGCGGAAGGAGCATGAAAAGCTGCAGCACGCTTTGGCCGTGCGCGACCACGAGATAGCGGCGCTCCGCGAGATTGCCGAGGCGGCCGGGCAGCTGCAGTCGCAGGACACCCAGGCGGCCAAGGTACTGCGCGCATCATGCCCCTCTGAGCACAAAGCGGAACGCCTGCCTCGTGCGAAGCGCCACGGGGCGCCCCGGCCTGCTGGTGCGGTCATGCCAGCCGAGCCTGAGCCCCCTGCGTGCCCGTGCCTGCACGACGCGGTCGATTCGCGCGCCCACCCCTGCGACGCTTACCTGCGCCTGGCTCCTGGCCCTTGCCAGGTGATAGAGCTGTCCAAGAAGAATCGCGCCCTCAACCTGATGCTTGAGAAGGAGAAGCAGCGCGCCGCCCAGCTGCAGCAGTCCCTGTCCGAGGCCACCCAGCCGCGCGACGGCGCGTCCGCGCAGAAGATCCAGGCCGCGGCGCGGTCGGCGGTCGAGCAGGCGGCAGAGGCGGCGGACTCCGCGGCCAAGGAGGCGGCGGTGTGGCGGGAGCGGGCGCAGCAGCAGACCAACAAAATGTCGCAGTTGGAGCAGAAGGTGCGCGGGGTTGCGCTGCATATGGTACCCAAATGTGGGGCTGGGCGCACCCATGGTGGGCACGCACGGGGCAACAGCCGACCACTCCAAGGATGCGCGGAACAGCGTGCGCATGCAGGCGCCAATGGCATCGGCACAGGTCAATGTGTGCATTTCCAGCTGCATGCGGCAGCATGCGGCCTGCAAGCATGCAAGCCGGCCGGCTCCATCCGAGCCTGCTGGCGCCCTGCTAGCGTGGCGCCCACCACAGTTCCTGCCGCCTACTGCAGGTGTTTGCCCTGGAGGGGGAGAACAGGAAGCTGGCGCGGGCCCTGGCGCGGGAGGTGGGGGAGGACGTGCCCCTGGCCAAGGTGCTGGAAGAGGGCAGCGACTGGAAGGGGCGCCGCGAGGCGATCATCGCGCTCAAGGACACCATACGCAAGCTGCGGGAGGAGCGGGTGCGCGCTGCTGTGCGCTTTGGGGGCAGGCAGTGGCTTCGGAAAGCTGGAGGGTGGGCTCTGAGTACTCTTAGACTGCCGCAGCCAGGCAAGAACGGAGGAGCCGGGCGGCTTGCCAGGGTAGCGTCTGTGCCGCATCGCCGCGCCAGTTGCTGCGGGCCGCATGGCTGGGTGCGAGGAAGGCGCAGATGGCGACAGGACTGCCCCGTTCGTTGGTTGAATGAACCCTTAGGCTGTTGGCTGCCAGGCTGCTAGCCACCAACAGCAATAGCTGCCGGCATGCACTTGCGGGCCGCGTGCGCAGGGGGCGCCCCTGCCCAGCAAGCACGACGAGGTGCACCGCAACACCATTGGGAAGATCTCAAAGGAGCGCGCCGCCGAGATGGAGCGCGTGGCGGCGGAGCTGGCGGCGGCAAAGGCGGCCGCGGAGCAGCTGCGGCGGCAGTATGCGGGTGCCAGCAGCCGGCGAAAGGTGCTCGAGGAGGAGGTGGGCCGGCCAGGGGCAGGGGGGGGGGCCTGCCCGGGGTGAGGGCGATGAGAAAGGGCGAGGGCAGACGCGAGGTTGGATTTTGGGTGGGTGGAATCTGCAACAGCAAAGTGGCCACTTCTGACGGGCGTCGGAGCCTGTGTATGTGCGCGCACACCAGGATGCTGTACAAGGCAGATGATTTCTGCAGGCTTCTTCAGTCAAAAATGCTGTAGACCGGCACGGCTCCAGGCGGGTGCGATCGTCACTCACACGACTCAAACCTGGCCTGTACATGCGCGCATGAACTGCAGCTGGCGGCCGCGCGAGACAAGATGGCCGTGGTGCTGCGGAAAACCAAGAACGACGACCGCCTCATCACGGCGCTCAGGGCCGAGCTGGCAGCGGCAGTGCAGGCGGGCGGCTCGGGGCGCCACATCAGGGCCAGCGTGACGGGTGTGGACAGGTGGGGCGTCGATGAGGGTGGACACAAGAAACGAGACGCGCATGCCAACAGCGCCGTTTTGGTGCGCAACCAGATCAGCCGCAACGCCTGATGTGCACGGCTCAAAGTGGTGATGGTTGGGGAAGGTGATGCGTGCTGTGTGCTCGCGTGCTTGTTCCCTGCAGCCGCACAGCAACACCTCGGACTGGCAGTCCCTCCAGCTCCCCGCCCTCGTGGTTGCCGTTGCCCTCACGCCGCACCAGTCCGTCTGGCGGCCAGGAGCACGTCTGGACAGAGGTGGCACAGCTCAGGCAGCAGGTGCGTCCCGCGGCGCGCACATGCGCCACCAGCCATCCCAACCTCTTCCTGTGGCCCGGCCACAGGAAGAGGCGTGCCCACACCAATCGGTAACCGCATGCTGCCGGCTGCCTCCTGATATGCTCTCAGCGTGACCCAGCTCTCCGCGGATGACGGATGTAATTCGTGCCGTATCATCTTGGCCCATGAAAAGAGAGGTGACGCCGCCGTGGGCTCACTGCACCCCCCTCACCTCACCCAGGTGGTGGAGCAGGACGAGCAGCTGGAGCAGTCTGCGAAGGTCATCCGCTACCTGCAGGCGCAGCTGCAGCAGCCCGCCGCGGCCGGGGCCGGCGGCGGCGGCGGCGGGGCGGTCAAGGAGCAGCTGCTGCTGGAGCAGCTGGAGGCGGCGCAGGACGAGTGCGACGAGCTGCGGGGGCAGGTGAGACGGTGGGGGCTGCTTGTGCATGCGGGTGCGTGCACGCTTGAGGGAGCCAAAATTCATGTCACTCTTGGCGACGGCATATTCACAACAAGCCAATAGCTGCGCTTTTACCGTTTGCGCTTTGGGGAGGTGCCCCCCGGTTGCTCAAGGTGAGTCGTGACGTCTCTCTTGTGCGCCCCTGCGGCCCGCCCCCAGGTGCGCGCCCTGCAGGACGATCTCGAGCAGCTGCAGGCGGCGCGCCCCGGCACCAGCGGCTTGAGCTGCGACCTGCGGCGGCAGGTGCAGGCCCTGCAGGTGGGGCACGCAGGTTTGGCGGCGGATTGGCGAGCGGTAAGGGAGCCGGGGATGATGGGTGGCTGGGATCCAGCTCCTGCAAACAGCTTGGGTAGGGCAGCAGTGCAGTGCCTTCCCCGCTGCACAGCTGGCCACAGTGACACGAGAGCGGACGCCCAGAACAGAGGTAGCAATCCTATAGCACTGACCTTTCTGCAGTGCCACGTACATGTGGCTTTGCGGCCCATCGGGATGCTGTGCAGCCCAGCCAACATGCCCCATGAAATGATTGTAGTCACCCCGCCTCCCTGGTTGCGTTTTGTTGCAGGAGGAGAACGACCGGCTGCACAGTGGCCTCAAAGCAATGCAGCAGGAGGGCCGGCAGCTGCGAGGCTCCCGGAGCGATGCAGGCAGGGGTGGCTCGCCGGGCGGGGCCGCAGGGTCGGCGCGAGGCGGCGCTGGCAGCGGCAGCAGACGTGGCGTGGCGACGGCCGACACGTTTGTCGTGGGCGACGCTGGTGCTGACGAGGATGATGGGGGGGTGTACGAGGAAGACGAGGGGGCAGCAGGGTACATAGACGAGGAGCGCGGCGCCATTGTAGCTGCAGCAGGGCGGCCGGGCGGTGAATAAGGGGTGGCCGCTATCTTTTCGTGCTGTTGTTGAGACGCTGTGTTATTCTCTTGTGGTCGGCTGGCCGACGTTTGTTGTGGTTGTTGGCAGTCCGGCTGCTGTAAAGTCGGCCCTGCGGTTGGTGAGCACCAAGTTCATGTAACACAGTCCCTTCCTTGACTGTGTCCTGTCCTATGCCAGCTTTGTGCTCACAGCTGCCCTTCTTGTTGACTGAGCACTGGTACTGAGCGGCGACACAGGTGCTGAGCAGTGAAGCCTGAAGCCACTTGGTGTCTTGTCACGTCTCGTGTATATCTATATGTGATGAAATTTCTCACAGAGTGCCTGCAAAATCCAACTTCTATGTACGAAGGAATCCTTGTTAGATGCTAAGATCGCTCGATTCGATTGGCAGATCTTTGCGTTCAGCATTACATTTCTGTGATTTCCAATCAATTATTGCATTACCAGGCAGCCAGGCCTCTCACCGAGCGCCCAGCGGCCGCCGGCGTCTGAGCGCGCGTGCCGTGAGCGCATCGCGCATCACCGCCGCACTCCTGCGCTCGCCGCTGCCCGCTCGGCCACGCGACAATCGAGCAAATGGACACCGATGATCCAGACCTGCGGGCGCCGCTGCTGCCGCCCGGGGCGGGGCCGGCGCCCGCGCCGGAGGCCGACGGGCTTTATATGCCAGAGCAGCTTGAGTACCCATTCTTGGATGAGAACCTGCTGCAGGTGCGCCATTCGGCTATTGATTGGAACCTCGGACGCGCACTCCCCGCTTGCGCGTGCGGGCGGCAGCTGCCTGCAAGGGCTGGGAGGAGTGCGTGCCGGGCCGGGCACCGGCGGCTGGCGGCACCTGCGCGTGCCACCTGAGATTGCAGCAGCGGCACGGGACCCGACACTGGGGCGGGCCCTCGATCCCCGCAGGAGCTGCGCAGCATCCATGAGCATGATGTGGAGGCCGGGGCGGCGGCCCTGCCTGAGGAGCTGCCTCATGGCGACGACGAGGTGTTCAAGGTGCGCACACGTGCGGATGCGCACGTGATTTTGAAGTCGAGCGACTCGGGTGTGGCGGTCGGCTTGTTCATGCACATGTGTG